ACTTTACATCTAATTGATGTAAGGTCCAGTTGAGTTCTGTTGCCACAGAGGCCACCAGTCTAATTGTCTCCATTCTGGCCACAGGTGCAAAAACTTCTCCATAGTCTATTCCTGCCTGCTGCAAGAATCCTTTTGCCACTAATCTGGCCTTGTACCTTGTCACCACTCCTTGTGGATTTATTTTGGACTTGTAAATCCACTTAAGTGCTATTGGTTTCTTGTTGGGAGGCAACTCAGTTAGTTCCCAGGTTTGGTTCTTCTCAATTGAACCCAGTTCTTCTAGCATAGCCTTGTACCACCTTTTGTCTTTCACAGCTTGTTCAAACTCCATTGGTTCGGCTTCTGCTATCAAGGCATAATGAACAAAATTTCCCTCTGCAGACACAGTTGCATCATAAGCTAGATCATAATCTCTTAGATGTGCTGGTAGTTGAGTCATTCTAGATGACCTTCTTACATTCTCCTCCCTCCTGAGCACCTATGGTTCTGCTGTAAGTTCATCTTCCAACTCAATAGTTGGTCCTCCATCTTCTTTTGACTCCCACTGCCGTGTCCAGTCTCATCAATTATCACATCTCTGCTGATAGAAGCTATCCCTGTTGTAGGATTATACAGCTTGTATCCACCTGTAACATGATACCCCACCAGTATCAATGGAACTCCTCTATCATCCAATTTCTTTCTTAGTTGTTTTGGCACATGTTTGTAACATAGGGAACCAAAAATTTTCAGATGCTTTACATCTGGTTCTGGTGTAACCTCATTTAATCTCTTTGTTGGAGATAAATTTAAGATATAGGTGGCTGTCATTACTGCCTCACCCCATAGAAAACTAGGCAGCTCCTTGCTCTTCAACATACATCTCACCATGTTTAAAATAGTTCTGTTTTTCCTCTCTACTGCCCCATTGTGTTGAGGTGTGTAGGGAGGAGTAATTTCATGAACTATTTCCTCTCTTTCACGGTAGTTTCTGAACTCAGTGGATGTATACTCCCCTCCTCCATCTGTTCTCAGAATTTTTAACCTTTTTTCACTTTGCCTTTCAACCATACTCTTAAATTTTTGAAACTGTTGTAGCACCTCACCTTTTCTTTTCAATAAGTAGACCCAACACTTTCTGGTCCAGTCATCTATGAATAACAGAAAATACCTACTGCCCCCAGGTGTTTCTATTTGCATAGGTCCACATACATTTGAGTACACTACCCCAAGCTTTTCTTCTGATTTCTGGGGTAAGACCCTTTTAAAACTTCCCCTTGTCTGTTTGCATTGAACACATTCCTTGCAAACTGTTTCTGGAATATCAACCTTAGGTAGACCTATCACCATCTTCTTTTGGCTTAACTGAAACAGATCTTGGAAATTCAAATGTCCAAATCTGAGGTGCCACATCCATTCATCCTTGCTCTCTGTAGCAGTAAAACAGTTGTGATCTACTGCCTCCATTACAACCTTGAAAGTTCTATTTTGTGACAGCTGAGCCTGCACAACTACTTTTCCATTCTGATTGAAGATACTAAGGCAGTTGTCTGCCATCTTCATCATGTAACCCTTCTGTAAAAGTTGTCCTAGACTTAGCAGATTAGTTTTCAAACCAGGTACAAACAATACCTCTTCTATTATTACTTCTCTGCCATCTTGACCTCTCAATACCACTCTGCCAGACCCCTCAGCCTCCAAACTGCTGTTGTCAGCAAATCTGATTTTCCCATGTTCCACCCCCTGCATTTTCAAAAACCAGTCCTTTCTCCCGGCCATATGAGTGGAGCATCCAGAATATAGGTACCATACTGTGTTTTCTGGTTGTTTTTCATCATCTTGGGCCATCAATATCACTGCTTCACAATCTGATTCTTCCTCCTGTGCCAAATTGGCCAATTTCTTGGGTTTATTTTTCGCCCCTTCTCCTTTCCAGCACTCTTTGGCATAATGACCCATTTTCTGGCAGTTGTAGCATTTTACCTTCTTTTTGTCAAATTTCCACTTAGCATCAGAATTCTTTGAATTTTTCAATTTTCCTGACCCACTGGACTCTACTCCTTGCTGATCCTGTGAGTCTTTCCCTTTCTTGAACACTTTTCCACCTTTCTTGAACCCTTTCCAGCCTTTCAACTGTGATCTGGCCTGTAGAGCTTGCTCATGACACTGTTTGCGCTCATTGATACGAAATTCATGAGCCTCTAATGAGTTTAACAACTCTTCAATTTCCATACTTTCCTTCCTTCGGGTCTCCTCAATAGCAACCACAACATTGTCAAATCTAGATGACAAAGTTCTCAGAATTTTGTCAACAATGTACTCATCCGATATCCCATCTTTATAGGCCCTCATCTTATTCACCAATTCTTGTACCTTATCAAAATAATCAGCCACGGTTTCACTCTCATCCATGACTAAAATCTCAAACTGCCTTCTCAATGCCTGCAATTTCACCTTTGTGTTTCTGTCTCCATCACCATAGGTCTTCATTAGAATGTCCAATACCTCCTTAGCAGTACCAGCCTTGGAGATCTTGTTGAAGATCTTTGGGCTGACACACTGGTATAGCAAGAATCTTGCCTTGCTGTCCAGTTTCACTTGCAGTTTGTAATTCTTTTTCTCTTCTTCAGTAGCCCTATCACTCAACTCAGGTAACCCTTCTTGTATTACCTCTGAAACATCTTGGAAACCGAAGATGGCTTGCATCTTGATGCGCCAATCATCAAACTGTTTCCCATCAAATATTGGTAATGGTTCCTGTATTCCTCCAAATCCCGCCATCCTTTCTTGCTGAAATCTTATGGTTTCTTTGATTTTTACACAGTCAAAGACTCCTACTTTTCTCTTCTGGATACACCCACTTCCAGACAAAGATTACACACCCAATTCACAATTTCACCAGGAAACAGCCTTAGCTCTTGATACCATATTAAACTTGAGGGTAGAAACGTCAAAGCCACCCAATAAATGCACTTTACTCTTTAAACGAGTAATGCACACGTGACAAGAGAGAGAAAACTGAGAAACCGAGAGATGAGAGGGAAAAGTAGAGCGAGATGCTCTGCTAGGGTTTTCACCCTTCTTCTGCAAGCACCATACACCACCACCACACGCCGGAGTTCACACCAGAATCAGCCTAGCAACCAGAGTCAGAAAACAACAAGCAAAGGAAGAACACACAAAATAGGTACTGAATAATATTCTCTCTGTTATTTCATTAACCGCAAACATATTGTAGGAATACAACTTTATACAAGATAATAAACTGAAAGTAACTGAAAAATGTTTTGTTTATCCTAACATTCTGGAGATGAAGAGAAAGAAATAAAAATTATTGTATGTGTTTACAAATAGAAACTATAACATAAATTATTTTTTCTTAAGTATTGATATTTTAATGTGCTCCTCAACAAATTAAAATATTATTTATAATTTTTATACAATAATTCTTTCATAACAATATGTCCTTAACTATAATTTAATTAATTAGATCATTTTAATAAATTGACTAGTAATATAATGATCTTAACATATTTTATATTATATATATAATAATTTTTTTAAATCTATAATATATACATCAAGTTTTTTAATTTTAACCTAACATTATGAAAAAAAAATTAATATTCCACTTAGGTTTATGCCTGTTATAGTTTATCATTAACTATTTAAACATGGTTAATAATTTTGATTTATTTGTTACACATTTAAAAAATTAATAACCTAATTAAGATCAATCTATGATGACTTAATTAAGATTTTCTAACAAAATCTTAACACTAAGCGAATATTTTTCGTCATTTGCAATTTTGTCAAATATGTTTTACACAATATGTCAAACTTTTGAGGAACTTATTAGAGTTTGAAATGATTTTTAAATTTGTTGCTTATTTTGTATAAAAACCGAACATGATTGCTATTAGAAAATTCAGATCCTATACCAATTTCACCAGGTTTATGGTTATGAAAGGATTTGGATTGAATTTCAATTTCAATTTCAATCTAATTATTTATTATTTAATTATTTATATTTATATTTACATTTAATTTATTATTTTTTCATTTAAATTTCATTTTTACTTAACTCTTGCCACACGAGTACTAACTAGTCTATTAAACACAAACATTTTGGTTTAGAATGCACCAGCCACTTCATTTAAAAATGACACATATTAGTGACACATCTTTCTTTTAAAAGACAAATTAACCTTTTCAGTATTGGTAAAAAATGAATATAGGATTAATTTAGTTAATTTTTTAAAAATCAAAACAACCTTTTTAGACAACAATAGTTTTTATCTTCTCTGTATATTCAACCCTTTTTTAGAAACTTATTTCAAAATATGAAACTCCAAAAGAATAACCATTTGAGATGAGAGGTAATATGAACAATAATTTAGTAGGTACAGTCAAATCAAATCTTATTAATCTTATTAAAATAAGTCGTGAAAATACTTTTTCCTTGTTTATAAATTAGTCTTTCTAATTTGATAAACGAAAATGTAATTTTTATTGAGAGATATCTATATTTAAACTGCACTGTGTTTTGAATTAATTTTTCTTTAAAGAAAATATCTTGAAAAACAAAGCAAGATTTTAAATTCGCATGAGTATTTCAGAATTCATGTTAATAAGATGTTTTAATTGTTTTGTTCAACTCGTTTTCAGGTATATATTTAAAACTTAAAAAGAAAATAAAACAAAATATACGTGTTTAATACTTCTTTTAACTAAATACCATATAATATATATATTTTTTTATCATGATCGTATATTATTATCTATAAATCTATAACAATATATTAATATCATTGTTTTGTTTTAGCACACACAACTTACTTCCAAATACAGCTCTTAATATGCATGTTAATATATAAAATAATAAAAATTAAATTTTAGTTTAATAAAATAAAATATGCTGTATGAAATAAATAATATGAAAAGACATCTTAAAAACTTAATCTGAAAAAAAGAAAAACAAATAAAGTTTATATTTTGGGATGAAATTGATGATGATGAAAGGAAAACATGAGATGAAAGGTGAAGAAAGGAAAGAGTGAAACACTACTTTCTCTGCAGAGAAGTGTCCAAGAACAACAGTGTCATTGTAGCCTTGCAGGTATCTTCTTCTTCTCTCTCTAATTTCTCTCCCTTTTCCTTCGATTCCTTTTCACTACTTGTAGGTTTTCTCTCTCATTTCACATTTTATTGTCTCTTCCTGCCTAATTACTGCTTAAAGCTCTGTAATCTCCCTAACCTTTTTACTCAAACTTTTCACTCTTTTCAATGCCCATTTTTTTTTTGCATTCTCAAATTCTCTGCGGGATTCATTTCACACTGCAATTTTGATGATTTTCGCTTAATTTCCCGCTTTCGATCTCTGTATTTGCATTGCATGCATGCTTTTAGTTCCTATTTACGGGTTATTGAATTGGGAGATTGGGAAAAAATGTTTTCTGTTTGTTTCTTTTTGCAATGTGTTTGTGGATTGAGTGTTGCGAACAGTACTGGTCAAATGGGAGAGGGTTTTAGAGATTGACTTGAGGTTTTAGCACAATGATGTGATCACATTCTTGTGAAAAGGAAACAGAAAAAGGTTACTTAATGTGCTTTTCTTGTATACTTTTGAGGAAAGTGTAGAGTGGTGAGTGCGACTCATTTATTTTCTTTTTGTTACCATTTAAATATCCAGTTTGCTGTGTATGATCTCAGCAATGAGTTATGACTTGCATGTCTTTTTAGTTCTTCTTGGACTGCTGTGTTTACACTTAGATAACTATGGTAATCTGGATCGAATAATCTCTTTTGGTTGTTTCTTCTGCTTTCATACTTTATTGGTTGCTTATCTCTCTTTCTCCCTCTCTGTATTTGGGCACTGTCCCAGGGATCTTGCTCTTGAGTTAAGGATTTTTTATGAGCTATTAAACTATAAAAGTCCCTTCTTTGCCATATGAGGTTCAAACAATATTTCATAATTCAGATCTATGTAGTATTTGCTGTGCTCCCTGAAACTATCTATAATTTTGATAACTTAAAATAGACAATTAGCTAAGATTTGGCCACACTGAATTGATTGGGACTCTGTTTACTTCCTTTCAGTATGATTCATGGTAACGAAATATTGGGAGTGATTTGTCAATGACAGTGAAACAACTATTGCTTCCTAAGTTGTTTAGGGATTAATGTTTAGTGATGTCCCTGTTAAGTATTTGTAGCATGTTATTTATCCTTGTACAGTTAATATCTTGTATAATTGTAAACCATGTAAGATGGTGTTTCTAAGGTGCCTATAATATTAATTATTAACCTGCATATTCTGCGAGTAATTGATACATGCGAGAAATTGAGAACAATGTGTTTAGGATATGATTACTCAAGTTTGGTGGATTAGGTCATGCATTAGCTTTATTACAACTGTACCTTGATGTAAGGTTGGCCATTTTATGACCTGTTTGTTTCTGTCATTTGCAGTGAGAAAATGACAATTTTTCCATTGCAAGATTGTGAAACAATTAGTCTATGCTTACATGCTTTTGGCTTTCTTTTCCCAAGCAACTTATAAGTTGTCTTTGCTCTTGATTATACCTTTAGTGGAAATTTACTTCACTCCTATCATAAAGCAGTAATACTTGCTGAGTGCTTATAAATATTTTCTTTCCCCACTATTCAGCTTGAGGTTATGTGAAGTTCTAAAAATGTTATCATAAATGAATATTGTAAAACTGCAAACTCTCATTTTTGCAATCTGTGTCCAACATGTTCCCAAACTACAATAACCACTAAAATGCAATTCAGTATGTTGAGCACAGTGAAACTTTAGTGATAAGAAAAAATGAACACCTACCAGTATGCAATAAGGGTGTCCCATCTGGCTACTCTTTGGAAATATGGTTAATTTTTTAAAATATGTCCTGTATTTATGTTTGATATATTAGTCATGCTACTTTTAATTGTTATCAGTAACTTTCTTAGTGGAATTCTTGTTTATATTATAATGTTTTTAAGTGCATAACACATGAGTCTGTTGGAAGTTTTAAAGTCTGAAAGTTCTAAATGTTTGGGCATTGCCTTTTTCCTTGTGCTAGAATAAAGGATTGTGGTTAGGTATGGATTTGACTAAGTTATTTCTGTTCAAGCTTTGATGGTCCTTTTAAATGCCAAACATTTAAATGAAGAGTTTATATCTAGTTAATTACTTTTTTTTTTATTAATGTCTATTTCTCAACGTTGCATCATATCTGCTTTATAATGTACATTGGTGTTTGTGGTATGTAAAAAATTGTCATTTTGGTTAAATGAATTTTATCTACAAGCAACAGAAATTAAGTTTTTCACTGTCTACTTTCCACCATATAAATCTATAGTTGATAAAATTGAAACAGGGAAGGTTGAGTGCAGTTCTTGTTGGAGACTGGTGGAATCTCCACTTCACGCCTGAGTTTTTGTTCAATAAATGGTTTCTTTGTATCTACTTCTGTCTGTAGTGTGCAAGATAAAATAAAGAACTATTTAGCAGTCAAAGTTTGCTAAATTCTTTTCAGATTGTATTAGAACAATGTTTGGGAACGTTGATGTCTATTTTCTTTGCTTATTGACCTAATGCTACACTTTTTCTTTTCTCATTGTTAACAGGAGTTTCCTTTCACCTGAAGATTGTTGATTAATTAAATCCATGATTTCTTGACTTCAACTATCACATCTGTTGCAAAATCCTCTGGATGAAAAATGGAGGATGGCCGTCAAAATGAAAATGACAGACATAAGATGGACTACTACAGAGGACCACATTCCATGGTAAATAGAATACATGAATTTGTGATCTTTCTTTTTTTCAGCTTTGCACTACTGGTCACTTTATTCATTAGTTGAATTGGATTTTGCATTTGCAGTGGAATACTGGTTCCCAGCATCAAGTGAAAGAGCCAAATGCACTGGTTATGAATAAGAAGATTAGGTCCATTTTGGCTGAAAGGCAGGCTGCTATTCTAGAGCTTGAACTGGAGGCTGCAATATCTGAAAAGAATGAAGCCTTGGCTGCTCGAGATGAAGCCATTCGACAGAGGGATGAAGCACTTGTTCAAAGAGATAATGCTATTTTGGAACGGGATAATGCCCTTGCAGCTCTTCAGAGTCGGAACAGTTCTGTTACCTTCCCTTTTGGCAGTGGAATTCAATGTGGATCAAAACGAATTCATCATTCTTCAAACCATCTGTGTATCATGTCTGAAGCTGCGTACAAAACAAAGGATGCCTCCCCAATTACAGTTATACCTTCTGAAGTTGTCAAATCTCATCAAGCAAAGAGAACAAAGGAGAACAAGGTCATTGGTTCTAAGGCATCAAACCCACCCTACAAAGTAAAGAAAATGGGCGAGGATTTAAACAGGAAGGCTTCTTTTGAAGGTACAAAAATCCGATCTGAATGGCATAGGCAAGATGTTGGCCTGAATTTGGTTAAATTTGATGAAACTACCATGCCAGTTCCAGTTTGCACATGTACTGGCATACCACGACAGTGCTACAAATGGGGGAATGGTGGATGGCAGTCATCTTGTTGTACCACAACATTGTCTATGCATCCATTACCACAACTTCCAAACAAACGCCATGCTCGCATTGGAGGACGAAAGATGAGTGGAAGTGTTTTTACCAGACTTCTCAGCAGGTTGGTGTTAGAAGGCCATGATTTATCAATACCACTAGATCTTAAGGAGTATTGGGCCAGACATGGAACCAATCGCTACATCACCATCAAGTAGCCTCCTGAAATTTGTCAGTATTGAGTAGGTTTCATTTTGAACCTCTTGCAACAGTTTCATTTTGAACCTCTTGCAACAACTGACCTCTAGTTGAAATCATGCCTTGACTGGTATGCTTGACTCTTGGGAACATGATATGACTTTTCAGTAGAAGGTACCCCATACGTAGTCACTGATTTGGCTAGACTCAACTTTGATCCTTATTATAAATGAGATACCTGTAAAGTATCATGTATACATGTGACTTTCTAAGTAACTAGGGGTAGACCCTTTTGGTTCCCACCATGTTTTCTGCTTTGTCTGTCCACTGTGAATACGGTGTACGAAACTTTCTCCATCTTTTGTTTTTTAATCCTTTTATCAATCGTCATTTACAAAATTCCATGATTAAATTTTCCACTTTCAGTCAACATAAAATTTCTGCAGAGAAACTGTGTGATGAGACACTTTAATTGCTTGTAATTGCTTTTGTTCAAGTTTGGTAAGGAGTTACAACAATCTTTCTAGAAAAATGGTCACAAACACAACGAATTGTTTTTGTTTGTGTAGTCTGGAGAAAGGTATTCTTAAAGATGAAATTGCTTTTCTGTAGTATTGGGGAAGGGTATTCTTAACGATAAAATTTATTAGAGAAAGTCTTGAATTTAAAACGTATATGAAGGCTAGTTGACACGATCTGATAAGAAAATAAAGACATGTTCTTTATTACTTGCTCTGTAATATGGGGATTACAGTGTTTTTTTATCTTTACTGATTCTCTCAACAAAAATTTCACAATTTTAACGAAGCTAAAATAATTCAATTTTCATTTCAAATTGATTACATTTTAAAAACATCTTGTTTTAATAAAACAATTCAAATTTATTAAATTTTAATATTTTTATTCAAATGAAATATTTTAGATACCAAAATGATATTATTTTAATATTAAATAATATTTAATAAAAGTATTAGTCGATATTGATTAAACTTTTTTTATCTTATAAAAAAAATGATCGTGTCAACAAATTTTCTTTTTCGATCGACTTCATGTAGTGTTATTTTTGGGTTGTTTATTAAACTCATGTCCATAAAAAAAATTGACCATAAAATGATTTTGCTATTCATAAAAAAAAAATAACAACGATCAACTACCCAAAAGTAAATCCTAATTGACAAAAATTACCTAATTAAGGTAAAAAAAATAGTATTTGATATATTTGAGAAACATAACTGATGTTAACATAAGCAACGTTGACTGATATCATTTGAGAAATAATACTAGCTTATAAATGAAAAAAAAAATAACATTTGTACTGTTGGTTGAAAAAATAACCATGATCAACAAACTTCTGTATAAATTAAATACGTTTATACAGAAATTCAATATGATTTCAATAAGGAAAAAAAAACGTTAAAATAGAAAATGCAAACGCAACACAAATATTAAATAACAATGAGAAAGATAATTGCATTGAATTTCATCTAATTACCAATTATGCAACATGCTCCTTGAATATACATGATTTCGTTCAATTAAATATCATTGACTTCCCTATTTCGTTCCAAGTTAATTCTTTATTCTTTAAAATTATAAGAATCTCAACATGTACAAATTAACATCCTTACCTTAAAAGATCAAGAATTTTAATGTCAACAACTTTAAATTTACTCCTAAAAATTAAAACTATTGAGTGATTTGATTTAGATTCGAAGTCCAAAAGTATTTTCCAACCACAATTCAATTTTAATTTCATGAAATAAAGATTTCTTTCTTTCAAAACATTAACAACAAAACCAAAAACCTGATATTAATTAAACCATGAAAACCATATATAAACACATACATATATAAATACATACATATATAAATACACATAAATGATAAGATAATAAAAGAAAATTAGAAAAGGATTTCAGAATTACTTGAACAAAATTTAAAACAAATTATGGCATAAATGAGAAAACAATTACTTCATTGTGAAATTTAAAACAATTACTTGAACAACTTTATTTCCATATTGAAAATAAAAGTTAATTAATTTTTTATATATATATAAAATCCCACTTCCCAAATAATGTATACAAACAGGAGATCCATTCTCTTTTTACAAACTCATTTTATGAAATCGATTTAAATTTTAATTATATCTAAATTTTAAAAATGGTATAAAAATTCGTTTTAGAAATTCTTATTAATTATCATATCACTATTATAGGATCATCCACATAAACATATTATATATTATCAACCTTGAGTACTAGAAAAATAATATATGTGCATATAAAGTAAGAGAAACATGACATGAAATCATTATAATATAAAATGTCACCATATGTTCTTTTTAAGATTCTCTATAATTAGTTAGTTGATTTGATCAGTGTTACTAACATAAAATTTATTAAAAACTACAAGATAAAATGAGAATGATTAAATAAGAAATAAGATTTTGAAATCTGTTATTTTCATTAAATTTTAATGATACAAAAGAACATATTATTAGTGAAACATAATGTAAAGAATGATTTACTGAAAAACTAATGAAAAGAAAGTAGAAGTGAAGATTGTCACATACCATTTAGAGTTGATGATGCAATGAGAAGCAAATGCAGCACATTGATTGATGAGGTTTCATGGATTATGCAGCATATGATAAGAGTGAAGAAGGTCTAACAGGTAAGACAAGAGAGAAGCAAATAGCCATGGAAACTTGCCAATTTACCAAACAAGGATCTCAATATCTTATTATGAAAAATGAAAAAGTCCCTTAGAATGGAAAAACTAGGCAAGTCATCCTTGGCTATTAACATGACTCTTGTCTACATGCAAGACCTCTTCTCTGATCTAAATCTGTCTTCTGCTATGTGTTAGCAATCACTCACAGATCCACTATTTATAGCTCAACTTACACCACACACTTCAATGTTAGTGACCATGTGACAAAAAATATGAAAATGGTTTTGTGCATTATTTATTCCTTGTTATCAATCAAATGTGTTATTATTACTTGGTATCATATCCATAAGACTTCTTCTCAGTGCCCATAACTTTTTTGTCCAATGAAATGTTGAGAAAGATAGAAGAATATGTTGAGAAAGTCAAAAACTAGCCAGAAGGGACCATCGTGCATGGTGTCAATGTGGTTGCTGTTGTTCATATATTTGAGAGATCAGAATATAGGAGAACCGTCTGCAGGTACTACCACAGTTTCATCTTCATTATGCAACTTGCATTCAATTTGTTCCTTTTCACATTCCATCTCTTTCTTACAGTCATTATATACCATGTGAAAAAAAAATGTTAACCCACATCATCTTTAATATCAAATTTAAAGGAATAAATATATTTTTAAATCTCTAAACTTTGATATAAAATTAGAATTTCTTTATGTTAGATTTTCGTATAATGAATGTATTCTGTTTAATTTAATTAAATTATTTTTTTTACATGTCAACTTCCTTTCATAATAATATTTGAATTATTTACATCATTTTACGTGTTGTAATTTTAATGTTATTTAGAAAATGCATTTCACTGGTTAAAATTTTTTAGCCTAATTAAATTAAAAGAATTATATTCTTTCATTTTTAGAGTTTAAAAACTAAATTATAAAAATTTTGGATAAAGACAAATTTAAATTTGTATTCCAATTAAGAAACTAAAGATATATTTTAATGTTTATTGATATTTTTTTATATATATAACAACTTTTTATTATTTTTATTCCTTAAGAATTTGAACTCATTTATATTCCAAAAAAAAGATCTTTAAATAAGTTTTGAGAATGTAAAATCTAAGAAAGAGTGGTTGAAAAGTTTTGGATCTCTTTTCTTGTTTGCTTTACGAGCTATGTACCACAATGTTATGGAAAATCCATGCATTAAAGACAAAAGGATTACAAACGAAAGTGTGAAAGTAATTGGTGATGTGAAAATTTGGGTTATATTATGGCTTTACAATTGGACAATGAGACACAAGATGTCAATTTTATAGTTGACTTTGCTCCCTTTATTCCTCTAAACTCCTTAATAAAATAAAATAAAATGAAAAAAAAAGAATCAAATTGCTTGAGTTGACTTCAAAATTGTGGTCACACAAATGCATTTTCAACTGTACCATTGCAAGCATATAGCCCTAATTACCGATTTATGCATTATTCCAATCTTCCCCGTCAAGAGAGTATATTTCAGCTTTGTAATTTTTTAATTTGTATTACAATTACAGAAAAATAAAAAAGAAAATTGAAGTCAATTTTCTTTCAGTTGCAAGCAATTATTGTTCCTGAATTTTATATATCATTCTGAATTATTGTTTTTATAAACTTTCTGAACGCACTGTGTAATATAATCATTTTCTTGTTTTTTAAACTACTTTTGGCTTTAATCATTTTGGATGTTTAGCTTCCCTTGAAATTTTGTTGTTATATATTGGTTTATCTGACTTAACCTATCAGTCTAATTAATACGGGTTGCAATGTTTGATGAGGCCCACAACCTTACCTCAATTGGGTCGAAATTGGACCAACGAGCCCATTTTTCCCAGCCCAACTTGATTCAAAGGCCTTATATATACCTCTAACTAACAAGGATCTGTTATTCAGTGCCATTTCTTACTACATTCCATTGTTTCAAACTGCACGTTCATAAAATTTTGAAATTTGAAATATATAATTTAAACTTTTACATTTTAGATTGCACATTCTAAAATATTAAATAAAAAATATATTTCAAATTACATAATTTAAAATGTAATTATATTTTTTAAAATATAAAGTAAAAAATACATTTTAAATTATACATCTTAAAACACAAAGTTTATATTTTGGATGGTATAATTTTAAATACAAGAATTTATGAAAATTGAAAAAAAAAAAATATGGAAGTACATAAAAAGCTGCCATTAGTTCAACCCCTCTTGTTTTGTTCTCTGCACCTTTGCTAGTTTTTTCTTCTTTTTTTCTCAAAATCCTTTCAGAAAACAGTTTTGGAGAAGTGTAACCAATCTAGAAGAGATATTGAAAAATAAAAATTGAATGAAATTGCATGAAGTTAGTGATGATAGGTTATTTATTTATTTATTTATATATGAAGAAAATAGTTATAATTAAAGATAATATTAGAAAAAAAGAATGTATGACAAGCCGATAATTCTTGTTATATGTTATACACTATATAATATGTTAAGTTAGACATAATGGTTATTTTGTATGTATCGCTTACACATGATCAGATAAATTATATAATAAATTATGATATTATATTTATTGTAAAAGTGTTAGAGAACTTGGTTGTGATATTT